ATAGATAGATAGATAGATTGATAGATAGATAGATAGATAGATAGATAGAGAGAGAGAGAAATATGGATATAGATAGATATAAATATATTACATTGAAATATAACGATTGAAGAATCAAAGAATGTAATGTAAAGTGGGTCTAAAGCCCATTTCAACGTTGTGAGGATATTTAAGAGGAAGGATTTCCAAACTAAAAGTCCGTCTCCAAAAGGGCTGAAAGCATGGGGGACTCCACACAACAATCTGAGCCCAATTTAATAGGCTTAGTTGAGGAATCGAACTAGGGTCGTAGGATCTGTAGTCAAGCATGAATGCCAACAGAGCTAATGGAACGCCCTGAGGTAATGTGAGCAGAAAGGCTCGAATGGACGGATCAATGAATGATAGGACAGGTGATAAATATTCGACGAAGACTGAACAAAAGTATAAATAAACACATACATAAATCCCACATGTTCTGTCCTTGCAGCGTAAATGTGTTTGAAAAAAAAAAAAAGGAAACATAGATGGGGGAAAAACAGATTGTCAGAACGGCAGAAGGAGGTACGGCCCATCTCATGCTCATGGTAGAACAATACACACTACATGGCTGACTATGAGTAGATTCGTTCTTTCATCAGTAATGAATCCTGTTGATGACCTACCAACAGTGATGACTGGCATATTTGTCATACCGAGTCTGTACCGGTATTATACTGTGCATTGTGTGGCATTTATGAAGCATTGGAAGCGCACGTATGTATAATCAAGTACTTTCAAAAGTAAATAAAAACTTCCCCACAAGGATAAATAATTAATAATAATATATTACGTTTACGTCAGGCCATACGCACTCCTATTCTCTTTCCCTCCACCCTGAAGCATGCGAAATTTTCCATTTGAGACACGAATGTAGTCAGACCATACAGTCGTAGTAAAAAAAAAAAAAAGATGAAAAGAGAAATAGTTTTACAGCACCAATCACTGTCTTAAAAACTGTTGCAAGTCCTGTGAAACAAGGAAGAGGTAGGAACACAACGGCCTAAAGGCCAGGAAAAACGATTTCTACAGCCCAAACATCCTCCGCCTCAAACCGCAAAGCACCCCC